CCCCAAATTTCTAAATTCTCCAACTCTCAACTCCCCAAATTTCTAAATTCTCCAACTCACAAATTCCCAGATGTCTAAATCTCCCAATTCTCAGCTCCCCAAATCTCTAAATCTCCTAACTCTCAAGTCCCCAAATTCCCAAATATCTCAACTCTCAACTCCCCCAAATTTCTAAATTCTCCAACTCTCAACTCCCCAAATTTCTAAATTCTCCAACTCACAAATTCCCAAATATCCAAATCTCCCAACTCTCAACTCCCCAAATCTCTAAACCTCCCACTTCTCAACTACCCAATCTCCACATCAATCTCCACATTTCCAAATTAGCAAATGCCTACAATAAATAAATAAATTTACTGTAAGAAGTAAATTACCTTTCCTCCAACGAAGTATCCTCCGTTCTTCTTCACTTGTTCGTCAAGTTTCTGAAGAATGAAGGGTTTTTTTGTGTCAAGGGTCTCCTTCAACCTTGACTTGACTGCAGCGTCCTTTTCCCAATAATATTGCGAGAAGGCTGTAGAAATACGATTTCACTTAAAACTGCTGAATAATTTCCAAGTATATTACATGTTTAAAAGAAATACTCACCAGTTCTCAAGTCATCGAGGGTGTCGATGGTGGCGTCAATTTCGTACGCTTCAAGGTCGTTGGAGCCATAGAGATTGTTCTTCTTCGCGAGATAACGGCTGATGGCTTTTGATTGATAAAGTGGTTTACCGTCAATTTCGAGCACTGGTACTTGACCCAATGGCATCTCTGAAATATAAACAATAAATGGTTAAAAAGATTTTCTAGCGATTTTGTAGCAATTTTTCTGGAGTAAACTTTTTAATTTGGGCAGTTTTTAAATGTGGGATAATGGTGTGTTGGAAATTTGAGAAGTTTCGAGTTTGCGAATTTTTCGGTTTGGAAAGTTGGGGATTCGAAGATTTAGAAATTTGGAGATTTAAGAATTTGGGAATTTAGGAAGTTGGGGAGTTAGGAATACGGGAATTTAGGGGGTTGGGAATTAGGAATATGGGAAGTTAGCAAGTTGGGGACTTAGGAATACGGGGAGTTAGGAAGTTGGGGATTTATTGGGAATTTAGGAAGGTGGGAATTTAGGAATTTGGGAATTTAGGAATTTGGGAATTTAGCAAGTTGGGGATTTAGGAATTTGGGAATTTAGCAAGTTGGGTTTTTAGGAATTTGGGAATTTAGCAAGTTGAGGATTGAGGAATTTGGGAATTTAGCAAGTTAGGGATTTGGGAATTTGGGAATTTAGCAAGTTGGAGATTTGGGAATTTGGGAATTCAGTAAGTTGGGGATTTAGAAATTTGGGAATTTAGCAAGTAATTTGGGAATTTAGCAAGTTGGGTTTTTAGGAATTTGGGAATTTAGCAAGTTGGGTTTTTAGGAATTTGGGAATTTAGCAAGTTGGGTTTTTAGGAATTTGGGAATTTAGCAAGTTGGGGATTTGGGAATTTGGGAATTTAGCAAGTTGGGGATTTGGGAATTTGGATATTTAGCAAGTTGGAGATTTGGGAATTTGGGAATTTAGCAAGTTGAGGATTGAGGAATTTGGGAATTTAGCAAGTTAGGGATTTGGGAATTTGGGAATTTAGCAAGTTGGGGATTTGGGAATTTGGGAATTTAGCAAGTTGGGGATTTGGGAATTTGGGAATTTAGCAAGTTGGGGATTTGGGAATTTGGGAATTTAGCAAGTTGGGGATTTGGGAATTTGGGAATTTAGCAAGTTGGGGATTTGGGAATTTGGGAATTTAGCAAGTTGGGGATTTGGGAATTTGGGAATTTAGCAAGTTGGGGATTTGGGAGTTTGGATATTTAGCAAGTTGGGGATTTGGGAATTTGGGAATTTAGAAAGTTGGGGATTTAGGAATTTGGGAATTTAGCAAGTTGGGGATTTGGGGATTTGGGAATTTGGGAATTTAGCAAGTTGGGGATTTAGGAATATGGGAATTTAGCAAGTTGGGGATTTGGGAATTTGGGAATTTAGCAAGTTGAGGATTTAGGAATATGGGAATTTAGCAAGTTGGGGATTTAAGAATTTAGAAATTTAGCAATTTGGAGATTTAGGAATTCGAGAATTTAGCAAGTTAGAGATTTAGGAATTCAAGAATTTAGCAATTTGGAAATTTAGAAATTCGGAAATACAGTAATTTAGTGATTCAGGAATTGGGAAATATAGCAATCTATAAATTTAGAAATTCCAAAAATCAAAAATTCGAAAATTTAGAACCTCAAAAACTTGTAAACTCCAAAATTTCAGAATTCGCAAAATTATTAATATCAAATAAAGAGTTCTATAATTCCAATTATCCCTGAAGTGTTAGCTATCCTAACAATAACTAGTTCTTCTAACACGTTTAGCAAGCATTTAGCATACTCACGAGCTTTAACTTGAGGCCATTCTTCGAAGGTCAACCTCTTGTCCTCGAAGGGGATACCACTCTGATGCAGGATGAACCTGATTGGCTCACCAAGTCCGGAGACGTTGAAGTATGTTAACTTGTAGCTGGGCATTGTCTGCAGTAAAAAAAAATATTCAATATTATTTAATTTTGTCCAATCATTAATTACATGACTCCATAATTTATTTATTTAAACATTTTCAATTCTAAATAAAAACGTTTAAAACATTTAAAATTCTAAAATTTATTGTTCCATTCTACAATTTCAAGATATTTTAGTAATTGTTAAAATGTTATATCTGTTATGATATATTATATCTGTTATGAAACATCTGGTAAGTTACGTAACAAATGCAAAATTTGGTAAACTGTTTACGAAAATTGCTTCACACGTAATAAATCCATACGCAAACACATGTAATAAAATTGCAATTATTCAGAACAAAATTTCTCAAATATCTCGTGATTCTGCAAACAATTATCTCGTAAAATAGTCTACACAAATAAGCCTTAATCACTCGTTACATAAAATACGACAATTTTAAGTTTACATTATCTGCAGCATTCGTATAACAAGATAAAAGGCTCATAAATTCAAACAATAGGTTCTTTGTACCATTTGCATATTCAAACGAAAGTATCATTCGAAGACTGTCTGCTTATATCTAATAAAAAATTATTAGAAAGAAACAATTTGCGATATCGGAATCTTCTTTTATGGAGTTAACGAGATTCATTTGATTTTCAATTTGCACATCGAACAGGAGACACAGTCGCTGATTGCTAAATACAGAGCGGTTGATTGTAGGTTGTACCAAGGTGAAAACATCGTATATTATCTCGTATTTACTTATGTTGCCACGGTAAACTTTGATTCGTCCTTCGATCCGCCATTTTTCAATAGAATAAAATCGGTTTCGATTAATTGAACTCGGTGAGAAGAACGTAAACTTAAATACGGATGGACTGTGGATGTCAAAACAGATAAATGGCGAAGAAATTGATCGAAACGGAAAAATAGAGAACAATTGAACTGTGACAGCCATGTTTAAGTAGCTGTACAAGATTTTATTGAGGCTGCCATTTTTTTAATTTATTGCTCTTGTTATTCTGGGTTTTAACAATGTTTCGTTTGGTATTTTTGTGTAGTTAACACAAGAGTTGTGTATTATTGAAGATGTATGTTATATTAGTGGGGAATGTTTGTGTATGATAAAATCTGTAGAATGAGCATAAATCGTGTTATCTGTTGACTGGGGATCTCATAGATTACGTAATTGTTTAGATGATTTAATTTTGTAGATAAGTGGAGAGATTGAGGTACTTTAATTTTGTAGATAAGTGGAAATTGAGGTACTTTAATTTTGTAGATAATTGTTCATCTTATAGAACTATAATTTTGTAGATAATTGTTGACCTTGTAGCACTTAATTTTGTAAATAATTGTAGAATCTATACAAATATTAATTTTGTAAAAAATTGTAGACTTTGTGATACTTTAATTTTGTAGGTAAATGTTCATCTTGTGGAACTATAATTTTGCAGATAAATGTTCATCTTGTAGTACTTTAATTTTGTAGGTAATTATAGAGTTTCAACATGTGCTAATTTTGTAGGTAAATGTTCATCCTGTAGGACATTAATTTTTTAGGTAATTTTAGAGTTTTAACTTGCGCTAACTTTGTAGTTAATTGTTGACCTTGTAGTACTTTAATTTTGTAGATAATTATACAGTCTATACATACATTAATTTTGTAAAAAATTGTAGAATTTGTGATACTTTAATTCTGTAGATAAATGTTCATCCTGTAGTACTTTAGTTTTGTAGGTAATTTTAGAGTTTATACATGTGCTAATTTTGTAGATGATTGTTGACCTTGTAGTACTTTAATTTTGTAGATAATTATACAGTCTATACATATATTTATTTTGTAAAAAATTGTAGAGTTTATGATACTTTAATTTTGTAGATAAATGTTCATCTTATAGTACTTTAGTTTTGTAGATAATTTTACAGTTTGAACATGCGCTAACTTTGTAGATAATTATTGACCTTGCAGTACTTTAATTTTGTAGATAATTATACAGTCTATACACATATTAATTTTGTAGATAATTATAAAGTGTGTACATACTCTAATTTTATAGATAATTATAGAGTTTGCAGATACATTGATTTTGTAGATAATTATTAACCCTGTAGTACCTTAATTTTGTAAATAATTATAAAGTTAATACATACTTTAATTTTGTAAATAATTGTTGATTTACAGTACTACAATTTGGTAGACAATTATAGAGTTCATACATACATGCACATAATTATAAATTTTTCAAATACATTCATTTTGCAGATAATTATAAATGTTCCACAAATTTCTACATATTAAAAATGAACATCTACAATACTAATCATGCTAATGCTATTAAAAATTGATTTTTCTAATCAATCATTTTAATCAATGATCACCATAGAAACGCTCCGAACAACACAATAATCAATAAAGCTTCAACCTAATTACCTAAACAGAAAATAAAAAGTCTTGAAAAAAAGTTCCATTTAAAATCCACATACATAAATAACCAAATATCGACAAGTACAGAAATATTTATCGCGGTTTTCGTTTTATTTGCCGTTCTACGTGTTGAAGGTTACAGAACAAGTATCTGTTGGAATGATGGCAGAAGGTCTCAATCAGCCACGTAACCAATGACAGTGCAAGATTCGAGAACATTCCGAAAGAATCATCACCGACAATTTGTAACTCAATGCTACGTGAAATCGACCAGTTTAACGACCATAACATTGAAGTTAATTGGGAATATCTTAGATCGCTTCCCACGACTATATCTATTGATTATGTTTATCGGTGTTAGGCTAATCATTGGCATTACCTAAGTAGGTGATAAAACTACTCGAGTAATACATTTAATACAAAAGTATTAGTTAATGCAAAATTAAAAATGTAACTGCATCTTTACGTGTTATTATGAATTTAATTTTTGAAGAGAATTTAATTTTTTGTAGAATGTAACTGCATCTTTACGTGTTATTATGAATTTAATTTTTGAAGAGAATTTAACTTTTTGTAGAATGTAACTGCATCTTTACGTGTTATTATGAATTTAATTTTTGAAGAGAATTTAATTTTTCAAACAATATATGTATGTTATATGTTCTTGTAAAAGTTTCATTTGAAAGTGTCATCAATTTGAAAATTAATTTTTAAAGTTTGCAAAGTTTTCAGTCAACGTGTAAAGTAACCTTGAAAATTCTAAACTTGGTAGCTTGAAGAAGACGGTTTTAGGTCTTCGTATATTTTCATTGTATAAACTGTAAACTACATATCCGTTCGTAGGTCAAGGTCATAACTTCTGTGTTAGAAAGTAGACCTGAGACTAATCTACCCATCTAAAAATTGGGACACTTTACTGTTACATTAATAAATTATATTTGTACTACATAGAAATTACAAAACAGCTAATTTATAGTATCTTATTAATTTTGTACAAATTTAAAATGCCATTTTGTTTTCCTGTCGTTCGGTTCGATTGTAAAAACATTCTATGCAAGTTCTTAGTAAAGCAACCTTGGCATTTCCGCAAAGTTACAAATAATACTATTGCTATTAGAGCTGAAGGAAGCTGAATAATGCCGGTTAAACGACTTCAATAGAGGATCTACAGATGCTCATTAATTAGCACTAAATGTTGAATACTTGATAGTACTTAAACAAACGTTAACTCTTCACGAACAATGCACATACGAATGTGTGTTCAAACTTGTCAAAAATAATAAAATTCGCATTGTGCAAATGTCATGCTATGTTTCCACAATAATTATACAGACAATCGTAAGTAATTTAACCACAAATTATTGCTAATTTAGTATTAATTTTGTTCAGTGTTCAACGACTAGTTTCAAACAAAATTTCCACTACTTATTTTTCACTGAAGAAAATTTCATTTCGAGTCTTTTAAAAAAATTCTATAATAAGTAACATAATAAGAATTTTTCCATAATGAATAACGTAATCATTTTTTTTTATAATAAATACTGTAATAATAATTTCTATAATGAATACCGTAATAATTTCTAAAATAAGTACCTTAATAATAATTTTTAAAATAAATACCTTAATAATAATTTCTACAATAAATACCGTAATAATAATTTCTACAATAAATACCTTAATAATAATTTCTACAATAAATACCTTAATAATAATTTCTACAAGAAATACCCTAATAATAATTTCTACAACAAATACTATAATAACAATAACTACAATAAATAATACAGTAATTCCGCTAAGTTTGTGACTCGAAACAAAACTATAAATAAAACTATAAAGCGTTTTGCTATAACAAATAATATATAATTTTACAGAACGAATGAATAAGCTTAAAATCAATAATATTCCACGTAGCGTGTGAAGTTTAAAACCGCGTCACCCGCAAAGAGTTAACGTTCATGACGTGACTTCCGGGTTTAATATAATGTTGCAAGATGATGCACTTACACAAAGATTTCACTGAGAACAACGTTGGTGTAAGAACTAGAAGCAGCGATCTCTGGAGAACTACTGATTCTATACTCGATTCCTAGTTGCTATTTATTGCCTGTATGTTATTCACGATATCTGCACTCCCCACCATTTAGAAATGGAGGTCATGTGGTGGAACAATTATTATACGGCTACAATCCTTTACAATCTTGACAATATATTTGCACTTTTCTCGACAAAATGCGATGTCATGTGTTGCACCATGTAATACATTGTAATAATATGTAATATATGTTATATACTGCATACTTATATTATTATATATTGTATACTTATATTATTATATACTGCATACTTATATTGTATATTTGCATTATACTATTTTACGTATGCTAATACTTTGACTGTAAATTCAAAATTGAAATTTTATTTAAAAGGGGATAAAAAAGAAATATAATTTTTTAGATTTTTTTATGTTGCTGTTCGAGAAGAATTAATAGAACATTATTGGAGCCATAAGTTTTTAAATAATGCAAGTTTCGAGTACCAGAGTTTTGAGAACTTGAAGGTTTGAGAATTTGTTCTCACAGTTTGAAAATTTTATAAATTACAGCATTTAATGACATTTAATCAATTTTAAGTTACATTTAAAAATGTACAATTAGTAAATTGCAAACTTTTAAAATTATAAAATTCTGGAAGTTTAAAACTGAATACTAAAAATTAAAGAAAGATGAAGTCTGAAAGTCTTGAAATCTTGAAATATTAAAACTTCTGAAATTTGTAATATTGAGAATTCAAAATTTCAACTCTATAAGATCTCGATAATTCAAGAATTCTAAAGTTTGGAAAATTCTGAAGTTTCTCAAAAATAAAAAACCCCAAAATCTAAAAAATGTCGAAACTCTAACATCTGGAATTTGTAAAATCTCGAAATTTCCAAACCCCTAAATCTAAAAAAGTTCGAAACTCTGAAGTCTGGAATTTCTAAAATCTCGAAATTTCCAAACCCCAAAATCTAAAATAGTTCGAAACTCTAAAGTCTGGAATTTCTAAAACCTCGAAATTTCAAAACCCCAAACTCTCCAAAATTCAAAACCACAATGCCCCAAAAATTCAAAAATTCCAACGTCTAAAGGCCCTAAAATCTGAAAAATTTCAAAACCCCAAAAATTCCAAAATTCTCACATCCAAAGACCCCAAAATCTTAAAAATTTAAAAACCCCAAAATCTCAATTATTCAAACCCACAATGTCCCAAAAATTCCAAAATTCTGACATCTAAAATCCCCAAAACCCAAAAAATGTAAAAGCCCCAAAAATTCAAAGCCCAAATCCCAAAAACACCTAAAACCATTCCAAAAAATCCTGAAACATAAAATTTCAAAATTTCATTTTTTCCGCAGATCTCAAGTATCAAAATCTTCGAGAAAGTATAACAAGATTACACAATTCAAATTGTATATCATCGCGCCACAAAAAAAAAGGAGAGGTTCAGAGAACCTAGAATTCTGCAAGTCACGGCCATCGAAAAATGAGGCTCCAGGTATGCTTACTCTATTACATGATTCAGCAGTGAAGATAAAACTGTAATCGTTTTGCTTCAACTTCTAAAGTAATCAGAATTGCTATGTAAAAATTATCAGTAAACACGACATTTTTCTAGGAATTCTCTAATAATCAGATGTACCATGTAACCGGAGATCAGCTAAAGGTGTATTGAAAACGACCTTTTGAGATCAAAAGGTGTATTGAATATTTATAATTGAACTAACGACGTTGACAAATTACTTCAGTAACTCATTACACTATTTAACCTGCAGTATAAATGTTAATATCGTATTTTATGATTGTAAAAGATTGCTTAACCAAATGTTTTCGACGCTTGTCAAGTGAACACTTTGTAAAGCTGATTATCCAAAATAACAAATTTGAATCCGTCAGATACCGACTCGTTATGTAATAACTTAACGTTGACTTTGTGCGTTACAATGAGTCAGCTTCCTGTATATAGCAAGCCATGAGCAGGTATTGGAGCAGTTATTACTCAATATACATTGCGTAACATTGTGTAAGTCAATAAACGTCCTGCTGGAAAAACTGATTTACGAGCTGTTTCGACGTGAATGTAACTAGAATCAAAAGGGGCCGATACCCCTGCACGTCAACTATCTGTACAATGTTACTTAACTCCACAAAATTTGTTTATTTATCATTCGCGAGATGAATTTTACTTAGTTACATTTAATCTACTTAGTCTTTGTACACTTTGTTGCAAATGCCAGTCACGCATGACAATTTATATCCGTAGACTGCAAGGCATCCGATGGTGAGGAACGAGTAATTAATGTTGCATGAATCGAGAGAAGATTAATTTTCCTCTTTTGATGTGCACCTTCATTAACGAACGTACAGTCAATTTTACAACGATCACACTGGAATTTTTTAGCTATCTCATGCAAGATTTATTTAATGAAGTATATAAAAAAAATTACAAACGAAGATACCTATATTTTAATAAAACAATCATTGTCACTTGTCCACCTCACAAAGTGCAGACCAAGTCAAATTATCTGTATGGCATGATTTTTATTTTTCAGTCTTATCTATATCCAACAACTGGTCTGTTAGATTAACTACTTTCCACTGACAGTCGTATCTTGTTTGCTAAAAGTAATTCTTATGTTCTTCCATAACAGAAACAGAGACAGAAATGTATGTTTTATCATGAGTGATAAAAAATTTGTTTGTGCACAAATTCTCAATTGGATTGATTTTTAAGTGGAGGATAATTATATTGATTGTTATCGATCTCCCTATTTTCTAGAACATGAAAATAATACTAACTTCAGCTTTAGCGACAGGTATATTAATTCTCAAACTATGAATAGATGCAACATTTATATTGACTTTGAAACATGTTCAACGCTTATAAATAATTTCAAGGATGTGATCTAAAAAGAAAGTCGGAATTAATAAAATGAAATGTTTATTTCTGCAGGAAAGTACAACATAATCTCAACAGTCTATTTATGGTATACAAATATCTTTGTACGGTATATGAATAATCTTGTTATATTGATTAACCGTGTATTAACGTGGCAATCTAAAATAAGCCATATCCAACTGGCACAGGTGTTGCTAAGTGAACTGTAGTAGGGGTATTCAAAATAATACAGCACAAATCTTTGTGCATATAAAAATACTTCATGGGTTTACAATTCTCTTCTGACCGCGAACTCTACGCATTTACAAATAAAAAAAATTGATACGAAAACGGTAAATTTGCTTAGGCATCAGATTGGGGACGTTTGTCGACCCAACTTTTGATTTTGGGTATAGCGAGAACCTTCTCTTGTAGTTGTTTCAGGTTGTCGTATTTCTCTATGATATTGTGACCCATCATGAAGTTCAGGTAGTCGAGAAGAGCAACAAAGGTAAGGTCAGCCCAGGTAAGAGCACCGCCAACGAAGTAACCGCCGTTTTTCTTCACCTGGGCGTCCAAACGTTCCAAGTAGTATGGCACCAGTTCTTGTGCAATCTTGAGTTTCTCAGCTTTGGCTTGTTCATTGGGCTCATAGTGATAGGCACCAATCTCTGAAAAATAAAATCTTTGTTTAAACAATACTCTTTATAAAACATACCATTTCTAATGGAAACTAATCACATATAATACAAGTTCAACTTAAATTCTGCAATTGTGTTAAATACTTACTTGCTCTCAGATCATGGATGGTGTCAACTGTGGAGTCAATTTCAAGAGCTTCCCAATCATTCTTACCAGCCAAACCAAACTGTTTGGCCAAGTAGCGAGAAATGGCTACAGACTGACAAACTTTCTTTCCATCAACCTCCAATACAGGAACCTGGCCAAATGGCATGTCTGAAAGTAACAGGAAAGACAAAATAGAAAGTATATTCTTATTATCAGAAACCTCTGAATACCAAAGCAAAAAAGAAATAAGTCATTATTTCTTCTTGAATCATTTGTTTAACATTACATAGATTTATTGCTTCCTGTATGATTACAAATATCTATTTAGAAGTCATAATTTTACTTTATTGATGATATATCGAGGAACAAGGGGGCATTGTCTTGTGGACAATAGCTATTGTCCCCAAGATATCTCATGGAAGGATAAACAAAAATTACATAAACAGCCCACAATATGATGTACATTTTTACAAACAGAAAGATTTGAAACAATAAATTGGCTGCATGTAGAACATAACTAAACAAATGAAATTGATCTAAAATTTACACTTACCAGGTTTTAGTTTTGGCCAGTCTTCTCTGTTAAAACGGAAGTCCTCAAATTCAACACCTCCATAGCTGAAGAGAAAGCGAATTGGTTCTCCCAAAGCCTTAACTGGGAAATAAGTTAACTTGTACTGAGGCATGTTTCTGTAAGGAAAAATAAATATGAAATTAATTTATTACAATACATTAATTAAACAAAAAACAATTACTACAAGAGTAAATTTTATTGGTACATATAGCATTTAATTAATTTATTTACTTTGTTGCTAAAAGCTTTTTCAGATAGAATTATTTTAAACACTTTCAAGAAGCGTTACTTCACGTTAGTATCACAACATGGAGGTACGTGTGCAAGTACTGTTTATGCGCATTTTGCAAGATTCTGGGAAAGACATTTATAAATTACTGTCTATTAACATTGAGTTTTCAACTTTCAGCAACATAATTTTATCCTAATTTCTCTGACACGCTTTTCTAACAATATTAAATCATCGATCAGGTCAATGACACCAAATTACTTTTTGCGAAAGTTCAATATATCGATCACGAATTTCCAAATAAATACACGGAAGAATAATATGACATTTTTTACAAGAAATAAAACATGAATAACTAAGAAGCAGAAATAAAATAGGAATACATTACACTTTTTCTTATTGTTGGAAGACGCAAAACGTGAAACAAGAGCAAAACGCTTCCGAACCGGCCGGCAAGTCGTAATTTAATGGAACTTTATTATGCTGCTATATATAGTCTGCCCTTCTCAATCTACGATAACGGTATTTCATTGGTCGAGATTGTTGATGCTAAAAAAATATGAGATTCTATAGAAGCATCTAGAAGAACTAATTGATTTCTGCACTTGTAAACTTTAACGAATAAAAATTAACGTTCTTCATAAATATGAGTCTATAAGAATTAAGTTTTAATAAAAGGAATCAAATTTATTCAATAAAGAAGTATTTTATGGACATAAGAGGAAAGCGAAGCCAACGTGATGGGAGGAACTCAATGAGCTGTAATAGTCGATGTTCAAGTTTGATTGGTTGCGTTCTACGCATGATCCGTAGCGCGAATTATGAGAAGCCAAGAATGATCGATTAATAAAAAATCTTGTGTTAATACGAAACAAGTGATTATTCGTTATATACATGTTACGTTAAAATATTTCAAATTTTCGAGCTACTCTTGAACTCAGTGTTTTATCATTTTTAAAAAATGTAACGCGATATTGTGCAATGTTACACAACATGTACCCATCGTACAAAGGTTGTGAGGTTGAGGTTACGCTATTCACTGTCAGATGGCGATGTCGATACGGTAATCGAAACACTATCTTATCGAAATAACTATTACACACGAAAATAAGTAGTAAAGGAAGTAATGGGAAAGTGATTATTTTACGATGTTATGTTCCATTAGTCAGCATTTTTAAATTACAATAATTTATTTCATATTACATCATTTCTTAACACTTAATCAGTAACATTTAATCATATCAGAATTCAAATTATCGAGTTAACGTTACATCGATTTGAGTGTTGACTAACCTATTTCGCATTCAGTGTCAAATTGACCGTGAATTTAGTGTTTTGTAAATTTTTGTCGATAAAGTGTAAGCTAAACATTGTGTTCGTGCAATTAGATTTCTATGACGTCACACTTTTTTTGACATTTGATATTAGCAAATATTAATACTTTCTTCAAAAGTATATCACTGTGTCACAAAAATACAAGAACAATAAACACGAAACAAATACAAATTATAAAATATAAAGCTCGTAAATATATATTCTTGTCATAGAACAATACAACGCAACAAAAATAAATTTTTGTTAATATCAAGTTTTAACTAAAAATATAGAAAAAACTATGTACCTTATATTTTTGTCTGAAGACATCTTACATATAAACGTACATATATTCCAGAAATATTGACTGTCTTTTAAGCTCAAGTGTTCAGGTTGTATCTGAAATGTACAGTTCGATCTAACACAGTTTTAACATTTGAATTTTCCGCCAAATATCGCGGCGTATTTATAGACAAACATTCGTATCATTTATTGATAAAATTACAACATTGACAACTCGCAACATTAACGAACACATTGAATTATATTATTCCAAGCGCACACGTAGAATTAAGATATGTTCTCATTTTTCCCGCGTTTTCGCTTTAAAATTCTGTGTTAGGTCGCTTAGCCAGCCAATCAACGATCGCAGGTATCTCGTGAACCCTTTTCTTCAAAGCTCGAAGACCGGGATAATTTTCTAACGCCGTCGTGCCGAAAATATTTTCAAAATTCTCCAGTGCCACTGCGAACACAAAATCTGCCCACGTTGTCTGAAAAATAGCAATTCATTTTTCTGAAAAAATCTTTCCATTCCATTTGGAAAGAAAAAGTATACCGCTGACATTCGATAATGAAATAACTGAACGTTTCGGTCAATTTTTTCCGTTCAAACATTGTTAAGCAAGATTTTCCTCGTCGCGTTAAAAGTTTATCTAGAAGTTTACGTAAGAACCTCGATATAGTTTTTTTCTTGCTAGTCGTCTTCGAAGTTTCTCGCGTAAATGGTAAAAATCTTAATATCAAATCCGCAAGAACAATGACTTACAGTGGAGCCAACGGCGTAGCCTCCGTTCTCGCCGACAGTTTTCTCGAACTTGTTCAAGTAAAACGGTATCGTTTCTTTTAAAAGTTTCGCCTTCTTCTCTTCCTTCTTGAAGAGATCCTCTTCCGTACGATATTGGGATATAACTGGAACGTATGACGTTAAACGTACCATTATTTATCCTTCTTACAGAGGATGTAACTAAGAAAGTTGGTGAAAGAGAGGACACGCTTGTGTGTTGTTTAAGATTGCTACAATTTCATTCTTCTAACTTTACTCGGACAATTTTAAATCGCTTCGCTTTATCGTCGCACACGGTACACGCTATTTATTAAGTTTAATTAAAAAATAGAAGCGGAGACAAATTTTTATGGCGTCAGTGTTATATGGCAATATAATGTATGTTATAACGCGTGGCATTACAGTGAGTGGCAATATAATGCGTGATGATATAACACATATCAATATAGTTCATTATGATATAATGCATATCAATGTAATTCATGACGATGTAATGCGTGAGGATATAACGCGTGGCGATATAACACGTGGCAATATAATATGCGCGGTAATACCATACGTGGCGATATAGTACATGATGATATGTGATGCGTGGCGATATAACAGGTGGCGATATACAACTCGCGGCGATATAACGCGAGGCAATATACAACACGTGGCGATATACAACGCGCGGCGATATAACGCGAGGCAATATACAACTCGCGGCGATATAACGCGAGGCATCATACAACGCGTGGCGATATAACGCGAGGCATCATACAACGCGTGGCGATATAACGCGAGGCATCATACAACGCGTGGCGATATAACGCGAGGCATCATACAACGCGTGGCGATATAACGCGAGGCATCATACAACGCGTGGCGATATAACGCGAGGCATCATAATATAACGCGAGGCATCATA